CCCCTACCACTACTACTACCCATACTCCTACCCCTACCACTACCCCTACCACTACCACTGCCCCTACCACTACCCCTACCACTGCATCTACCACTACCACTACCACTACCCCTACCCCTACCACTACTACTACCCATGTTCCTACCCATACCACTACCCCTACCACTACCCCTACTACTACCCCTACTACTACCCCTACTACTACCCCTACCACTACTACCCCTACCACTACCCCTACCCCTACCCCTACTACTACTCCTACCACTACCCCTACCCCTACCCCTACCCTTACTACTACTCCTACCACTACCCCTACCCCTACCCCTACCCCTACCTCCTAGCACTACTACTACCCCTACCACTACCACTACCTACCACTGGGTCATGTCAGGTCACATACTAATTGGATCCAATAAATGTTTTTAAAAAATCAGAATTTAAAAGATCTTCTAGCACCACTCCTATTCGTTCCATTCCATTACCTTAATCGATTTTGTCGGGAATAGCGCTTTGTGACAAATGTGGCGTGTTACGGCAAACGCGGCACATATTCACCCGGTGATTGAGCATGCATCTTTGCACCAAATTACACCCATATCGGACCATATTTGACAAAACTGTGCGATTTGCGGCAAAAATGACGCCCTGAGATAATTGTTGCGCATTCCGGCAAACGCGGCGCATCTGTACCTGTTGGTTGAGCATGCATCCTGGCACCAAGTTGTACCCTTATTGCAGCATATTAGATAAAGTTGTGCAATTTGCGGCAAAAATGACGCCTTGTGACCAATGTGACGCATTGCGGCAAACGCGGTGCGTTTTTGTACTTGTATCACAAACTCTTCCCATTGAACGAAAATCAACACATTCTCTCGCCACTTTTTATTCAAATTAAAAACCTGCCCATCCGCCAATGCGAGGCACCCGCCACCGATCGGCATGCATTTAGCTCACAAAGTTTGTCGACCCCGGCTCTCAATGAAGATCTACGAAACGATCAAAATTTCATTGGCGTCCTTCCAGCGCGCCCCACGCGCGAACCGTGCACCCCAGCGAGTCGGAACCTAGAAAAGGCGCTGACCCGTTCTGTCAACTATAAGGTGTGCAAATTTCAGCCCCAGCTACGTCGTACCGTCTGCCCTGTAGCCGTAACAAATTGAACCCACTACACGATGTGCGGACACACAAACAAACAGACAAACAGACAGACGGATTCTGTTGGAATAGTAAGTTAGATGATCACGTCACACATAGCGCTAGTCGGGTTGGGTTGCTTGTGTTGGTGTTGTTCTGCGTGTTTGTGGGTGTGATGTGTGCTGCATTGTACCCACCAGCCAGTGGGTGTGGCTCTCAGTACCCCAGAGAGCCACACCCACAAACACGCAGAACAACACCAACACAAGCAACCCAACCCGACTAGCGCTATGTGTGACGTGATCATATTTACTGTTGTAGTAGCGCGCTGAAACTGAAAGTGTTATTTATGATTTTACTCGTGACCTGTATATTGTTTTTCAAACGTGTCCATGTACGCATTATTTGAACGAGTGTCTCACAGTGTACTTGAAAATGAATGTATAATACATTCGAAACGCGTCGAACTTAAACGAATATTTCTTACATGAACTTTGCCGATCTGATACATCGTATTGACGAAAACAGCAAGAAAATAGTCAATAAGATCATAAAAACACAAACAAAGCTTTCGAAATGTGATATATATATATATATATATATATATATATATATATATATATATATATATATATATATATATATATATATATATATATATATATATATATATATATATATATATATATATATATATATATATATATGTTACAGGGAGTTTGAGAAATCCGTGAGTTTGCAAACTCCCTAGTGAGTTTGCAAACTCCCTGACCCATCAGTGAGTTTGCAAACTCACTAGGGAGTTTACAAATTCACTAGGGAGTTTGCAAACTCACTGACCGGTCAGGGAGTTTGAGAAATTCCAGAGCGATTGGGCCAAATAAAAACAAGTGTGCAGCATGTGGGTGGCATACGTGCCGTCCTTGATGTTAAAACAAAGGTGGCTAGTTGTAGGGCCTCGCACGCTGACAAAAAGCTTATAGATCATATGCACACCATAAATACCTTTTTTATTTTAAACTGCTCAGTGATCTATCCATGCAGGTACCGCCTTATTTAGTCATACATTTATTTAGTTCACGTCCTAATTAGAGCCGTTCCACTCAAGTGTGGCTATTCCAGAGTCAGGCTCAATATCAAAGTAGAAACAGCTCACTGTTGGTCACTTATGCTAAAGTACAGGCACACGCACCGATTCACGCCCATTCTCACTCCGCCATAGACGTGTCATCGAGAGCCGGCGCTGCTGGCAGCCAGCCCAGCTGCGACTGGCGCACGCTGCTTGTTTGTTTTTGTTTTGTTGGGTTAGGCCCTTTCGGTCTGACAAGACCATTTCAGAGCCGGACGAATGATAGGAATTAAGGGGAGACATTGGTCTGGGCAGGCACCCTACAGAGTCGCCGGGGCTGAGCCCGTCCGAATGGACAGGCCCAGGGGCGGATCCAGGAAAACTCCAAGGGGAGGGTCATGAATCGAAGTGGTGCCCCTACCTATACCCAAAATTAAAAACTCAACGGATTTCGTCCACTTAATTTTGGTGGTGCCCCCATTTTCAGTTTTTCTTTTATTTTTTTATTTTTAGTCAGTATCTTAACTCTTACCCACAACCACATTTACCAATTGTAAGCAAGTATATATGAATGTGTTATGTGTATATATGTTGTGGACGCTGAGTAGTGAGTACTTACCAGGAACGTTATCAGGTAAGCGAATCGTTGTCAGTCCGACGAACTTGACCCTGGCGTCTAAAGGGTCTGTCCTTGACACTTCAGGCTTGTCAGGGGCACCAAAGTCCTTCCAGGGACACCACAAACCTGTCAGGGGCACCTACGGCCTTGTAGGGGCGCCACAGGCCCGCCAGGAAGCAGGGGCACCACAGGCCTGCCAGGAAGCAGGGGCACCACAGGTCTAGCAAGTATACACGACAGGCCTGTCAGGGGCACAACGGGCCTGTTGGGCCCATGAGCACCCCTAGGGGCAGGGGCACCACGGTCCTTCCAGGGGCACCGCAGGCCTGTGAGGGGCACCAGCGGCCTAGCAGGGGCACCAGTCAACACAGGCCTGCCAGGGGGGCACCACAGACCTGCCAGGGGCACCAGAGGCCTGTCAGGAGCACCACCGACCTCGCAGGGGTAACTTGGGCCTGTCAGGGGCACCACGGGCCTGTCGAGAGGCACTTCAGGCTTTTCAGGGGCACCATAGTCCTCTCCGGGCGCAGGGGTAGCAGGGGCACCAGAGGCCTGCCAGGGGCACTACAGGCCTAGCAAGGGCACCACTGTTCTATCAGGGGCACCACGAGCCTGTCATAGCCAGGCATCTCAGGCTTGTCAAGGCCCAGGGGCACCACAAGTCTGTGAGGGGCGCCAGCGACCTAGCAGGGGCACCAGTCAACACAGGTCTGCCAGGGGCGCCACAGACCTGCCAGGGGCACCACAGACCTGCCAGGGGCACCAGAGGCCTGCCAGGGGCACCACAGGCCTAACAAGGGCACCACGGGCCTGTCAGGGGCACCTCAGGCTTGTCAGGGCCCAGGGACACCACAGTCCTTCCAAGGGCACCGCAAGCCTGTCAGGGGCACCAGAGGCCTGCCAGGGGCACCACAGTCCTTCCAGGGGCATTACAAGCCTGTCAGGGGCACCAGAGGCCTAGCAAGGGCACCACAGGCCTGCCATGGACACCACAGGCCTGCCAGGGGCACCACCGGCCTTGCAGGGGCGCCTCAGGCCTGTCAGGGGCACCACGTGCCTGCCGGGGACACTTCAGGCTTGTCAGGGGCGTTACAGTCCTGTCAGGGCCCAGGGGCACCAGGCCCGTGGTGTCCCTGCTAGGCCTGTGGTGCCCCTGGCGGTCCTGTGGTGCCCCTGTCAGGACTGTGATACCCCTGATAGGCCGGTGGTGCCCCTGGCAGGTCTTTGGGCCCCCGGGCCTCAAGGGGGGGGGGGGGCATGACCCATGTGACCCCCCCTTGGATCCGCCCCTGGACAGGCCGACCAGCCCCCAAGCACTCTCTGCACCCGGCTACGGGGTGCATTCGCTCGGGAGTAGCGGTGCCGCTCCAAGGGAGCAGCCCGCATGAGATAAAGGTGCCTGTCTAGCCCGGAGTGGGGGGGGGGGGGTTCGGCGTGGAGGAGAAGGATTTCACTTTTCAGTATCTTGATTCCTGAGGATGGAAACGACGGAACGGAGGAGCACGTTGCTCCGAACATCCCCTTTACATAGCCGCGAGAGTAGCATTTTTTTCGGTAAAACAATTAAGGATCTGTAAGCTTTTTGTCAGCGTGCGAGGCCCTACAACTAGCCACCTTTGTTTTAACATCACGGACGTCACGTATGCCACCCACATGCTGCACACTTGTTTTTATTTGGCCCAATCGCTGTGGAATTTCTCAAACTCCCTGACCGGTCAGTGAGTTTGCAAACTCCCTAGTGAATTTGTAAACTCCCTAGTGAGTTTGCAAACTCACTGATGGATCAGGGAGTTTGCAAACTCCCTAGGGAGTTTGCAAACTCACGGATTTCTCAAACTCCCTGTAACATATATATATATATATATATATATATATATATATATATATATATATATATATATATATATATATATATATATATATATATATATATAAATATATATATATATATATATATATATATATATATATATATATATATATATATATATATATATATATATATATATATATATACGCGAGATGTGAGCTGAATGGCTAGTGAAAACACACTGCATGAAGCGTTTTCCACGCGAGGTGCGAGTTGCACGCGTTTTACAGGAGAGCCTTTAGCCGCGGACCAAGTGACCCTGGTGACCTGATTGGCGTGTCGTCTCCGTTCCGGTCTGACCCACCTACCTGAGTCGTCCCTGTGCCACGTGGTAGGGCACCTCGCGGCTGAGGCCAATCAGCTGCTCGTGGCGGCCGTCAATGACGCCCCAGGGCGCGATTCCGATGCAGACAGCGTGCTGTCCACCGAGCCGCAGCGACTGGCCCGACGCCAGCGCGTCGCCGGCGTGCCGGGTCACACCTGCCGACCAGCGCCACCAGCTCAGCTCACAGTCGCCCGCCTGGTCACCGCTAGGGGCTAAGCTCACAGTCGGCCGCGTGTTAACCGCTGGGGGGGGGGGGGGTACGACCCCCTCGCGTTTGTCTCCTGATCAAGCTAGAGCTTCGTGGAAAACACGAGCGTGTTACCCGTGACGAGAGGAAGCCGATAATATCCACAATCTTAAGGTCCTAGGTCATTGGCTGACCTTCCAGATCAGAGACAAGTTTTACCAAAAAAATACCAGTCGGCCGCCGAAATAAAATATCCAGACGAAAAAATTGCCGCCACACAGCCACGAGTTTCACCAAAAAAAAAAAAAAAACAGCCGACTTCGGACGGAAATTATTCGCCCCCGATAGTTAGCTGATATTCTGTTACAATATCATTGCGATATGTCAAGGAGGTTAACAAATCATTTAAAGCATGATTTCAATTAAATTGAAGTGTGTTTTCTAATGCAAATGCCATATAAATTTCGAAATATTATTATTGTTAATTATTACATATATTTTCAAGAGCTGTAACAACAAAGTAGAGCATTATAAACTTTCATGTCTATATTAACATTCTGGTGCCCAGCAAAAGCCAAGACAATACAAGACTACCGCCGGTCGCCAACCGGCTGCAGGTGCGTCAGCCAGTCGGTGCACGGCCGGTCGGCTCGAGCGCTCCACCTCATCCAGCACGGTGAAATCGTCAGCGGCGGCGTCTCCGTCCGACTCGGAGGTGTCCTCACTGTCCTTTATCGGGGTTACATGAGCACAGTAAATACGTATTTAGCCGCTAATTCGAATTAGGAATGCATTACCGACTCATGTAGCCACCTGCTAGTACGAATCGGCGATCCGATCCGCGGTTACATGAGCAAAGCAAATACGTATCACGATCGGATTCACCGCTAATGCGAATCAGGAGCGTACTACCGACTCATGTATCCACCTGCTAATACGAATCGGCGGTCCGAACAAAATCCGCAGGGAAAGAGGCTTAGAAGCGAATAGGACCAAGATACGTATTGCAGGAACTATTTCTTTCCAAAAAGAAACATTAAAATGCAAAATAATAGGTATTTTTTTCATTTGTTTCTTTTGAAATAATAATAAAAAAAAATGTCTCGGTATTTTGTCAAGTTTTCAAAAATAAATATAGTGAAAACCAAAAAGAAAATATCAAAGTACTTTCAGTTGAAACATTTTTCTGACAGCACTACAGACGAATCAAGAAAGGCAAGTGCTCAATGAGTCAAAGCAAGACAACTTTATGTTTAACTTTTTTTTTGTTAAGTTAATTGAGAATGTTTTGAGCAGATTAAATGCAAAAAAGACATAAGATATTAAGTTTTTAATTCAGTCGCCTCTATTGCTACGGAAGTGCGCCACATTTGTATGCTATTCCGTTTGTAATGCGCATCGGGCCGAGAGCCAAACTAGATCCGTTTGACGTCACTGATACGAATTTGCTCATGTAGTCGGTGCATTGAATGCGTTCTTGGGGAGCTGATGCGAATTAGCGTAGTGCGTATTTGGAACGGATCGCTGGCACACGATTCGGGCCGTATTTCACAAGAACTATTCTTTGCTGACTGGAAGCGTCAAAATGCAAAATACTAAGCATTTTTTTATTGGTTGACTCGTAGAAAATAGCAAAAAAAAAAATGTTGGTATTTTGGTTTAGTCTTTGCATGTGAAATAAAATGAATGAAATATTTTGATAGATAATTTTTTCTGACCACCCTGCTGTCGCTGCATGGCGAATCAGTGCCCATTGACTTAAAACAAGAAAACTTTGTTTTCATTTTTTGATTTCATGTTAATTTTAAATGTTTTTGGGCCTATCAAATGATAAAAGTATTTAAAATTTAGTTCAGTCGTCCCGGTAAATGCCGCAACTGCGCGATGACTGTACGCTAATCCTATTCCGTTTGTGATGCGAATTACCGGCCGTCGAGGAGTCAGCCCGGGTGAGCCAAACAAGATCCGTTTGACGTAGATAAAACGAATTAGTCTCATGTAACCGGTGCCGTAGATACGTTTGTGGGGAGCTGATGCGCATTAGCGTAGTGAGTGCGTATTTGGAACGGATCGCTCATGTAACCCCGGTACTTATTGGCGAGGGCGGCTGCCGCTGTGCACTCAGTCAGGTCGGCCATCTTAGCATCACTCGCCGATATATTCATCAATTCTGCTTTGAACATTGGTGAAATCATATCACCAAAAGCCGAGCTGATTCGATCATTCCCGAAACCATGGCGAAGTGTTAAACTGTTTTGCAGATCGCTCAATTCAGTGTTCAATCTGTGTTGCTGAACGGCTTAAATGAAACACACAACGCCGGGATAGTTGTGCTGATGCTAATTGTCGAAATAACTCCTCAAACAGATATGGCCAATGGTTTAATGCAAATGAAAAAAGGTGTCATAGACAAACAAGTGCATGGATCCGATTGACGGATCTCACATTATTGGATCTCAAGTGGATCTCAAGCAAACGACAAACGAGAGAGAGAGAGAGAGAGAGAGAGAGAGAGAGAGAGAGAGAGAGAGAGAGAGAGAGAGAGAGAGAGAGAGAGAGAGAGAGAGAGAGAGAGAGAGAGAGAGAGAGAGAGAGAGAGAGAGAGTCTTTTACAGTGGATAAAGTCGTATCTCAAAGATCGCACCCAAAGAGTAAAAGTCGGTGATACCATGTCAGCCTCACTAAGTCTAAAAGCGGGCTGCCCGCAGGGCGCGGTTTTAGGCCCTTTACTTGTCCTTATGTATTTGAACGCAGTGACCGAAAACCTGACTAATGATACTTTGCTATTTGCGGACGACATTACTGTATATGCTCCATATGACGAAAGAAAAACCACCTTACAAGACAATCACTCTAAACAGATTTGGACCTCATACACGCATATGGTCATAAATGGCTCATCAACTTCAATAAGTCAACAACCGTACCTAAAACAAACATTTTCAACTAAACAAGATGCATCACCACTAGAACTTACCTTTGGAGGTTTGAATATAAAAGAAGAAGATAATCATAAGCACTTGGGTCTGATATTTTCAAAAGACCTAAGGTTTCATTTGCATGTAAACGAGATCTTACAAAAAGTTAACAGAGCCATCAGCCCACTTCATCCAGTAGCTAAATGCCTCCCTAGATATGTTATTGAAAAAACGTTTTTGACATAGATCCAACCATATTTTGATTATTGTGACCTTGTATATGACCGACATTTAACGCTATACGACTCCCAGAGACTACATACGCTACATAATAGAGGGGCACGACTAGTTGCGGGCGTGCCATTCAGAACACCGACAAACTCTTGTTGGATTTAGGCTGGAGCACGCTATCAACAAGAAGTGAGATCCATCGACTATTAATGTACCACAAAATAGTAAACTCCAACGATGACCCAAGACTACCAGAATACATTGTATCGACTCTTCCAAGAACTCGACAACAAGAAACAAGGCGAACACTTAGAAACGCAAGCACACTTTCACTCTCTCCCGTAATAAAGTTCGTGATAACTAAAATACAGCGTTTCACTTTTCACGTTATATTTGAATGTCCGAGATAATGAGTTCGATCGAGATGACGAGCCGAAAAGAACAAGTGAAGATAAGCGACCGGCGAGGGAGCGGCCCTCACACGGTCCGAGTCCGTTGCTGTCCTAGAATTCTCTCCACGCGACTGCCGGGCTCCGGCCCGCTCCGGCGCGACATATACCACGCGTCATACATACGTCACACATGTACGTCATATCATAACACCAATCAGAAGCGGGTCAGGACAGGCGTCACAGGTAAGGAACGAGGACCATAAAAGGACATTGTTAGTAAGGCAGGGGGCTGGGGATGAACTTTGTTACATCACAACGCAAGGTCCTTAAAGCTAAAATCTTGAATGAAGATTTCCGTCTTGGAATGCTTCCGATATGATGCATGATATAACGTACAACACACGTTAGTTATCACACAACAAACACACACATACACACATTGCAACATAAAACGACATAGCATAATCATAGATAACATGAATCAGGATTGGACACGAAATCAGCCTGATGCAGAATGGGGCCGACATTTTTGGAATGGGCAAGCGACTGTTTTTCTGTGAAAACCATCTCGTTTTGGCTACCACTTGAATGGCAATAACTTTTTTCGACAATTTGATGTTTTTTGCTTATATTTCTTTAAAAATAAATCTAAAAACGTGTTTTATTAGAGCCGTATACTGCAATATTTACAAGTGGTTCATCAGATATGCAATGGTCACAAGACGCTACAACGAGTGGAGAGAGGGCGAAATAAGCAGACAACATAAAATATAATGACTAATGAGCATGTTCGTCTCACGCCTGAAAGGGTACGCTCGCCGTTTTCCGCCTTCTCCAGGCTGGGACACATCGAGTACGTGCATAGCAGCGCCGGGCAACGCAGGTGGACTTGATTTTTTTTCCGACAGACGGGACCGGGCGCTGCTCTGCAGTGGCGGTCGTTGCACTGCTCGCACTCCGCCACTGACCGGTTCGGAGTTAGTTGGTGGACGTCCACCGCAGGAACCGTCCTGTCGCCGTCAGTGCTAGCTAGTGGTAGCAGTGATCCCATCAGCTGCGCCTTCCGACCAGCCATGCCTGGATGGTGCGGGCCCTCTTGTGCGGCTGCGTCTCCGTGGGCCGTCTAGAGGTCCACCGGGACTCGATTCTGGTCAACATCGCTCGTTTTCCTGGCAATGATATCGACTCTCACATTGCACTCCAGGACGCAGCACGAGGGCACCCGCTGAGGTGGCTGGCTGTCAGTCCTCGGAGAATCTTCCAGCTCAGCAGGGAGCTCTGGACGGCTGAGCTGTTGCGGAAAGAGGCGGCGAGGGCGGACTGGAGGTCGTTCAGGCAGAAGACTGTTTAGAGAACAGTTGCCTTTGGTTCATGCTACATGTCGAAGAAGCAATGAGCAGGATAGTTTGTTTTCCGTCCTTGGGCTT